GATGCCGTGAAGCTGCTCTCGGCCTTGTCGTGTCCGCGGGTCGGGTCGGGTTCGGGTCCGATAAATCGACCTGTTTGTAAAAACGGGTCGGGTTCGGGTTGACCCGAATAGTGTCGGGTCATTTTCGGGTTCGACCCGAACCTGACCCGTGACCCGAAATTGACACCCCTATACGAAATATGACAATCATGCCTAAAGTGATCCTGTGATTAGGGGGACAATTATGATTAATTTGTTCGATCAAATTATACAGGACAATTGGTGACGATCGTACTGTATGACCCAAGCAATGCATGAGACAATAACTTATCGTTGCTTATCTTACAAGAAAAATACCATAGCGCCACCCACCCCCCCAATTTCATACTGTACGAACCAAGTGCTTCATGGGACAATAATTTGTCTTCGCCTATCATACTAGACGATTAGTACAAACTCTTGAACTGATTGTACATGATAATGAAGTTTGTATTATAAAAAAAAAATTTGTTTTGTACTAATCGTATAGGACGATCATAGGATCATACTGGACGATCTTAAACAACAAATTGAAATTTAGGGCTTTTTGAGATACTCTCTATTTAAACTCTCACTTAGACTTGTTCAAAAGCTTTTGGCTACAAAGTGTCTTGAGAGGGAAAAATTATTACGTGCAGGTCCAGATTTGTCCGGAGACCAATAAAAATGTGCCACGTTGCCCCAAAAAATATACCGCGCTCCGTACCGAGTGCTTGGTACCGCTCGGTACCAAGCGCGGAACCGGACGGTTCTCCCGTCCAGTGTCCGCACAGAATAATCTCCTTGAGAGGGAGCATAAAAGAGTATAAGAGAGCATTGGGAGAGGAGAGGGAGAGCTTTTTGTGAGGGATTCACAAGGTTACTCTAAGCAAGGTTCTTGCCTGACTTTTTCAAGTTTATGGCTTAATTCTTTGGTGGCTCCGGGTGTAAAACCCGAAAAATATTGATCATCAGCATCGCACGCATTTCAATGCGCCGCAACAAAATTAGACAAACTTTCAAAGTTGTCGGAATTCGACACAATAAATTTTATAAAACTCTACACGAAAGCTTTAGAAAGTCAATTTAATTTTATAAGCAATTTCAAGTTTTTAGAAATTAGGGTTTTCCCTAATCATGAAACCGTTAAGCATTATTGTTCTAATTTAACTTAGAAATGAATTTAGAGTTGAAATTTAGAATTTTTATACAAAATGTTATTTTTTGTCATTTAAGTTTGGTTTAATCCAAAATTTTATAGTAAGTATTAAGTGTATGGGAGATTCTTTACGCATGTGTTATATAATGGGCATGAACATGGTTCCCATAAAGGTAAAATCATGGTGAAATCAAATTTAGAGAAATTAGGAATGAGACTAATCTTGGATTGGGAAAGGGTTCAATTAGGGAATTTAAGAATATTGTATGGGTAAGGTCTTTATTTTCATAGTTTAGGGTTTTAAGAAGTTTATGTGAAAACAATTGATATTTACGCATTATGTTATGTTTCTTTTATATATTGATCGTGTAAAGGGAAGAGTTTGTTAGGACATTCAACAAATCACACCGCGGTGAAGTAGGTAAAATGAAATTCTTTTAAATTTGAAAAATTCTTTAAATACAATCATGTAGAAAGTTATTTCTTTTAAATGCAACTTGTACCTTCATATGTGGCTTAACATGTTCTTACATGAATGCTTTTGAATACATGATGCAAATGCATCTCTCATGTGATGATAATAGAAAGTATAAAGCTTATGCCTCTTTTATATGTAATGCATATATCTCTTTTTACATGTAATATATATATATATGATCATCTCTCTTTTCTTATGAATTATGTAGCAACATATGAGAACATTAGACCATACGCATGAATGGCATGTTAAAGTCTTTTTTATAAATAAATAAAGAATGTTTGTATGTGTATGTTCGATACGGAGTATCAATGGTAAATGAGCTCTTTTGAGCCAATGGTAAAGGGATTCTTCGGAACCAAATGGTAAAGAAATGGTCAATTAAAAAGTGTACATGATAAGTACAAAACAAATTATTCTTCCGTAACGGGTGATTAATATTATATTATTATGATATCATGTCATTATGTTATAGGTACAAGAGACATCAAATGAATCATGAATATTTAATAAAAAAAGATTTGCAAGTTTATGCAAAGAAAGAGAACATAAAGATTGACTTAGAGGCATTTTTTACTTTAATTGATATATTATGGCATATTGGTTATTTCTTTACTTAGAGCATATACATGTACTTCTTTCCTTGCCTCTAAATTTAATTAAATGTCATTTTATCTACTGAGTTGTGACTCACCCAACTTATGGAATATTTTTTAGGAGAACCTAATAAGCGATAATGACGGATAGATCAACCTATACGTACCGTCGTAGAGAGACGATGGATGACAGGTTTCTTCTTTTTAGTTTTTGAAATTTTGTATCAGATGGATTCAGGATGACTTGTAATAGGTAGATTTATGGATATCCTTTTATGTTTTGAACCTCTATGTTTAAGTTGACATATTGGATGATAGAGGAAAAAAAAGAAAAAATTTACTTGGAATATTTTATTGGCTCTTTCTACATGTTTGGAGATATTTTGTTTATGTAATATTTAAGTTTTTAAATTCTACTGTCTGACTTTCGTTCACATCTCGCCTATACGAGCATACCAAGCCGGGTCGTGACACCGGGGAGACATTCTACAGCACTAGAATGTGATTTTTGCCATCACGTGGAGGGTGAAAAAGGATTCAAGGAACTCTGCCTTCTCAGGTAAGGAGAAAAAGCTTCGATGTACGCTGCTGTCACTTGGGGGTGTGAAAAGCTTCCAATTCTCCGCCGCGCAGAACTGATAAAAGTGATTTTGTAAGTGTTTCTCCACCTTATTGTGAGGGAAAAATGAGAGTCACTTGTTTTAGTGCAATACTTGAAAGGGGGGTTCCGGGGAAAGGACGTAGGTCAGGCTGAACCGGACCACAATAAATTCAAGTGTGTTTGTTCTTATTATTTTTCGCACTTTATTTTTCTCTGATTAATTGTGTTGGTTGAAAACTTTGATATTTTGTTATTATGAAATTAATTCACTTCCGCATCAAGTGATAAAATTGTCTGTTTTTAGATATTGAAAAAGTTATTAAAATATTTTCTTTTTGTTAAATAAAATTTTAAATTACAAATTCACCCCCCTCTTGGTTAACCTCGAGTTAGTTCATTGAGGTTTAATAACCTTCATGATCTTTTAATTCCAACAAACAGTTCTTAAACTCCCTCCAACTCCATATAGGTCGCATTATATCCCTCCACTGGTACCATATGAATGATTTTCCCTCCAAGCACAGGCCGACTGTCATCAGTCTTCCTCCTCTATCAATCCATTGATAGAAAAATATCTTTCAGCCCTATAAATCCACTCATGTGCATCATCTCCCTCAAAAACAGGCATATTCAGTTTCCTCACCCACAAATCTCCTCTGTTCTACCTATTTCTTCCATAACCTCTCATTACACAATGAGGTGGTCCTCCCCAAATATCCTGATCTTCCCTTCTACGCTAGCACCCAAACCCTTCGTCAAAATCCCTCTTCCATTCAAAATCAGCACCCCACCAATCATAATCATCCTCTCATCTTTAAAATTCAGCACCCCTTCATTTATACCCAACCCCCTCAAACCTCTCCCCATACCTTCTACCTATCTCCCTAGGAATGGGCTCCAGAGGAGGTCTTCTCTTCACACTCCACAATCTCTATCTCTTGTTCTTTCCCCCTCCTTATCAGAATAGGGTTTTCCCCACTCACTTAACTGTCGGCTGCTTCCCTCGCCTTCAACTACTCCATTTTGATTTGGCTCTCGAGCAACTTCTTTACCATCTCTATGATGGCAAATTACCCATCGATCTTCTAGTGGATAGCTAAAATTTGAGTTTCGAAATCTAAAATTTCATATTTCAATTGTCTAATATCCCCTTCCAACACTACGACCTTTTTTTCCCGCCATAGGTACCTAGATTTAAGCTACAAACAACAAAAAATAGCGAAACTGGTCTTCAAACAGCCAAAATCAGCAAGATGGAGCGAAAAAACACAACAAAAATCAATGAGGAAAACTTATATTTAAGCTGAGGGCTCGATTCTGATACCAATTTGATAAGTTGATGCAATTTTAGCCAAAAATTAGAGAACGACATAAGAAGATTGGGAAGAACACAAAAAAATAATTTTTATTGAAAGAACGTTGAAGGAAAATAAAATATATAAGTAGATCTTCAATTGAAGAGGAAGATATGGCTCTCCCAAATCTCTAAACACTGGCTAGAGCCCTCACAAAATAAGAAAAACTGATTTTAGAAAACACAAGCATAATCCTCAAAATACAATATTGTTAACATTAAATAGGCTCCCCTAATTCCCTCCCAAATCATCTTCCTTTCCCTAAATAGTTCTCCCTCAAATTTGAATTCAAATTAGATCTCTATCACTAATTAATTCTCTCACAATTGTAATTAAAACTTTCGTAAACAATCTCCCTTAATTCCTCCTCACATAATAGATTATAGCTTTGTTGGGCCCCACAAGGAGGGCTGAACTCCCTCTTTGCCGCTTTGTTTCCCGCCCAGCAAAATTTTTGGGTTTGGCTAGTCTGGGCCGGAAGGAGCCCCGACTCCCGCTTGCCAGTTTTGTAACAAAGTGCTCCTACCAGGTTCCCACACCTTCTCAGATGGAGCCCTTCCTCCCACCTTTCACAACAACCCTATCTAACTCCTAGGGCCTCTGCAACCTTCAAGAAACCATCACGCTTTTGCTGCAACTATTTTCAGTAAGTAGCATTAAACGATATCTCAAAGTCACAATACAGCAATGTAATTATTGAATTTGTAGTAATGATGCAAGCAAAATAGGAGTTACTATTCAAAGGGACCATATTATTAAAGTACACAAATAAAAAATTAAATAATTTAGCTAGGTCATTATAACAGTAACTTACAATGGCAATGTTGTTTCCATTCAACAATATTTGGTCAAGTTTGGTTATCCTCCGCCCTTCAGCAGTTATTTCACTGGAATGGAATATAATACAATCACTGGCAATCCTTTATCACAATCAAAGTAAATATTGTAGAAAAATAAAAACTATTGCATATGGTTCCACGCCATAGAAAACATAGCGTGCTGATTAACTACTGATTGGAACAGCAGCAGCATAAACAACTTAAGCAAATGAAAAATATCCCCAAAAGAAGGTAGTAACTTTTTAGTCGAGAAGTAGGAATCAAAAACATAGTGTAATCAATGCATGATGTTTCCTGCCAATAGAAGATCTAGAGAGTTGTTGGACAGTAGTATCTCGGTATTGCAAAGAGGTTCTATCCAGCTCAGAATCTCCATTTCACAATGGAGACAACTAACCATTGCTCCATAAATGCTCCCTTAACAATAAAAGAAAAACAAGGCACAACCTAAATTTCTCAAAAGTAGAAATAAAACTATTTGCGAATTCTTATGGAAGTCAGACAATTCAATCAAGTCGAAGTAAAGAGCATCCAGTAAATTCGCTTATCAGGTACCCTTTTGTAAGTCAGTACTATTATTTGTGATATTAATAAAATAGAGAAACTAATCCCTGAAAAACCCTCCAATGAGGAGCTAGCTAATTAGATCTAGATGCTGGATCAAGTTTTCTACCTAAAAGGAACTATGAATACAAAGATAATAGCATATAAATGTTTTCATGGGTAATGGAAAGTGTTGACTCTTCTGTGGGGCTTGAAGACATGGCATTTGAAATGATCTTTTATGGAAAAAAATGGGCCTTTAAAACCAAAACGGAGTGAGTCCAAAGGGAATAGATGACTGGCATAAATCTAGAAATGAAGCTATTTAGTCCAAGGGATCTACTACAATTGACAAAATCAGCTTCGAAAAGGACCCATATGAGATGATCTTCGCTCCCATGGTTTGTTTTAAGACCTTCACCAAATGAATGTGAAATTGTCTTCATTTAATAAATATTCAATTTATAAATGCAAATGGAACAGCTCAGTAACTCCTAAAACGGCAAGGAACATCTAACATGGCTGATTTATGCAAATTTGAAATAAGAAGTTACGAACTTAAATAAGCACTTAGCGAGTAGCATCTATATTTTATTTGATAATACCAAACTTCATGTTTACGGAAAAATCTGATGCATATGTGTGAGCATCATATTTTATGTTTTATATGAGTGATATTTTGCTCAACACAGACCTCAAGCTTTCTCAGGTAAATAGGTTTCTTTTTATAACAAAGTGTGAGATGAAACAAATGCTGAATATGGCTATCCTTAGACCAACCCAAGCCAATGTCTATTGCTTTAAAAAAAAAGAACGAAATAGAAAGCATAAAATGTGCTTCATTAATAGGACGGATTTTATTGATAATGAGGAGCAATCATACGAGTATAATTATCAATAAGGATATAATTTAGATGTCAGTAGGCGCTTGGGCGCCCACGTGGAGGGGGGCTGTTTGCAGATAACCAAGTCGACAACAACAACATCAAGCCTTTTTCCCACGTAGGTTGGCTACATGAATCCTTTTTCGCCATTGTGTCCGGTTAAAAGTCATACTTTCATTTAAATCTAATAAAGAAAGATCATTTCTAATATTTTCTAAACAAATCTTTTTAGGTCTACCTCTACCTTTCTTATCATAAGTCAAATCTAGTACCTCAACTTCCCTAACCGGGTCATGAAAGACATCCATTTAATATGACCAAACCATCTAAGGCGACTCTCTCTAATCTTATTTTCCACTGGAGCTACTCCAACCTTTTCACGTATATGCTCACATTTCGTATCCTATCTCTAAGGGTCAAGCTACTCATCCACCTAAAAGCATCCTCATCTCTACAACACTTAACTTAGTATTATGCTTCTCTTTTAATGGCCAACATTCGGCACCATAAAGCATTGCAGGTCTCACCACCATCTTATAGAATTTTCCCTTAAGTTTGAAGGGGACTTTTCTATCGCACAATAGGCTCGATGCATTTCTCCACTTCAACCATCCAACTTGAATTCTGCTGATAATATCCCCATCAATTTCACCATCACTCAGAACAATAGATCCAAGATATCTATAAGGTGTACTCTTATTAATGACTTAATCGCCCAAAGTCACAATCCCCTCACTAGGTCAATTACTACTAAAATTACGCTCCATATATTTAGTTTTAGATCTACTCAAGCGAAAACCTTTAGACTCTAAAGTTGACCTCCATAATTCAAGTTTACCTTCAACTCCCTCTCTAGTCTTATCAACAAGAAGAATATCATCAGCAAAAAGCATACACCAAGGTACATCCTCTTGCAAATGTCTAGTGAGAACATCCATGACTAAAGCAAAAAGATATGGACATAAGGTTGATCCTGGATGTAATCCAACCGAAATTGGAAAATACTTGGTCAATGATTTGAATATAAGCATTATTAACTCCTTTCTTTTCAAGAACTCTCCATAGCACTTCTCTTGAAACTTTATCATATGCTTTGTCATCAATACACATCATATGTAGATCCTCCTTATTCTCTCTATATTTCTCCATCAAACATCCCAATAAATGTATGGCTTCCATAGTAGACCTACCCGGCATGAATCCAAATTGATTTTGAGAAACATTAGTATCACACCGCAACCTACGCTCCATAACTCGCTTCCACAGTTTTAAAGTATGACACATTAACTTAATTCCTATATAATTCACACACTCCGGTGCATCACCTTTATTCTTAAAAATAGGAATTAACACACTCATTCTCCACTGATCTGGCATCTTTTTAGTCTTCAAAACAGTATTAGAAAGTTTAGTAAGTTAAGAAATTCCTTCATCTCCTAAGCATTTCCACATCTCTAATGGAATATCATCGGATCCAAAAGCTTTTCCACACTTCATTTTCTTTAAAGTCTCTCTAACTTCGATTTTACTTATACGCAGATAAAAACAAAAATCTTTTTTTTCATTTAGGGTGATAAAATCACTAAAGTCAATCATATTTTTACATTCTTTATTAAAAAGTTTAGCAAAATACCTCATCCACCTTTGTTAAATATCATCTTCTAAGAAAAGTATTTCTTGATCTTCATTCTTAATACACTTCACTTGAACTAAATCCTTACTACTCCTATCTCTTTGTTTGGCTTGCTTATACATATATCTTTCACCCTCTTTAGTATCTAATATATTATATAAATCATTAAAAGCTAAGCTCTTTGCATCACAAATAGTTTTCTTAGATTCCTTACGAGCATCTTTATAGCCAATGTTTAAAATTGCGTATTCGAGTATTCAGACGTTTTTCATTCGTGAGACGAGGCATAAGCCTCAAAGCATTTTGAGGCATAAGCTTCAAAATCAAAAGATTGTGTAAACATAAAATGATAAATTTTTTATATACTAATTAATGAATTATATAAAACATAAAAAAACATAAGATATGAAGTGAAATCAAAATATCTCAATAATAAGACAACATGAAATATAGTTCAACTCAAAATTCTATATTTCTCAAATCCCAGTATTTTTTTCATTAACATATAATTCAAATTTTCAAAAATAAATAACAATGACATATCACATAAGAACTCATAAGTCATAAGCACTGTCATCACTAAGGGGTTCTTCATTTGAATCATCATTATGATGAACTGCTCTCTCCCCTTCCTCCTCTCCTATAGAGTCTAATGTCGGGCATTTACTTCAAGTTTTATTTAAGTTTTAATATATATACCGTGAGGCGTAAGCCTCATGCTAGTGAGGCGAGGCGGGCCTCAACCAAGTTAAGGCACAAGCATCATAAAAAAAAACTTGAGGCGTAAGCATCGAGGCGTTTTTTACTAGAATTGCGCAAAGGCGAGCCTCATATTACGCAATTTTAAACCATGTTTATAGCTTTCCCAATTATCAGAATTTTTACATCTAAATTAATTTTTATAACAAATCTTCTTATTTTTTATCTTCTTTTGCACATTTGGATTCTACCACCAACTATTTTTACTATTATGAGTTTTTCCCATCGAAACTTCAAGTATATCTTTTACAATATTTTTAAAATCACAAGTTACTTTTTCCCACATAATATTAACATCCTCATACACAGATGGAATCTTAAGATCTAAAATCTTACTCTCAAAAATACTTTTGTTAATATCATTTAAATTACCTCATCTAGTACTAGAAAATCGTTTTACTTTATTTTTTTATTTTTTGCCCCTTTATCTTAAAGTCCCAAATTAATAATCGATGTTGGGTACATAAATTTTTACTCGGAATAACTTTACAATCTTTGCAATCTAAACGATCTAATTTTCTTATAAGAAAATAATCAATCTGTGTTTTACTATATCCATTTTTATAAGTGATAAGATGCTTATCTCTTTTCTTAATAAGGTATTAGCTATTAAAAAATTATAAGCTAAAAAAAAATCTTATATAATCTTACCACCTTCATTTGCGTTCCAAACTCATGGCCACCATCATCTATCTCTCTACCAATATGTCCATTTAAATCTCCTCCAATAAAAACTCTTTCTTCAAAATGTATATTTTATAGTAATTTTTCTAAGTCATTCCAAAATTTTAATTTTGAACACATATCCAAACCTACTTGACATCAAGAACAATTTTTAAAACTATAATTTTATCTCCAATTCTATTAATTTTTATAACATTATCCTTCAAACTCTTACCTATAATCACGCCTACATCATTTCTAGTACGACTCCTACTCGAATATCATAGTTTACATCCTAAATTATTAATCTCCTTAGCTTTCTCTCCAACCCATTTAGTTTCCTGAATGCACATAATATTTATCTTCCTATGAATCATAATATCTATTAATTCCATTAATTTTCCTGTCAGGGAGCTTATATTCCAAGTTCCTATCCTAATTTTAGTTTCATGGACTAGCTTCTTTGCCCATATCCGTCCTTGATGTGAGAACTCTTGCCTATTCAACACTGCACCAAGTCGAACGGAGAGAAAATCCAAGTGCTAAAAATCAAGAAATCTAGATTT